ATATTTGAGAAAACGAATCGATAAATGATTAAATATGTTCATATAATTAAAATGTGGGCGGGGACGCTCATCTGGGAGGGGGATGAAGAATGGAGAAAATCTAATTTCGCTTTGTAACGTATATATCATCATCATCATCATCATTACAGCCCTTCACAAGTCCACTGCTGAACATAGGCCTCCCCCAAGGAATGCCACAAATCACGGTCCTGAGCCACCTGCATCCATCGACTTCCTGCATGTCTTACCAGGTCGTCACACCATCTAGCGGGAGGTCGCCCTAATCTTCGCCTACCGGTACGAGGCTGCCACTCGAGAACCTTTCTTCCCCATCGGTTGTCCGTTCTTCGAGCTATATGGCTGGCCCACTGCCACTTCAGCTTACTAATCTATTGGGCTATGTCGGTCACTCTGGATCATCTGCGGATATCCTTATTTCTAAGTTTATCACGCAGAGAAACTCCGAGCATAGCCCTCGCCATAGCTCGCTGAGCGACCTAGAGCTTCCTTATCCGGCCAGCAGTGAAGGACCACGTCTCAGTTCCATATATCATCACTGGCAACATACACTGGTTGTATAGTCTCGTTTTCAAGTTTTGAGGTATACCTGACGAGAAGATGTGCCGTAATTTTCCGAACGCTGCCCAACCGAGTTGAATCCGTCGATTGATCTCTTGGTCAAAGTTGGACTTACCTAGTCGGATTATTTGTCCCAGGTAAACATACTCGTCAACAACTTCGAGCTTAGTGCTCCCAACAACTAACAGCATAGGTGTGACATGGACATTAAACATGATCTTTGTTTTGTCCATGTTCATCTTAAGACCTATCCGTTGAGAAACACTATTGAGGTCATTGAGCATAGTGCTTAGGTCCTCCAGCGATTCTGCCATAAGGACTATATCGTCGGCAAATCGAAGGTGAGTGATGTACTCGCCATTGATGTTGATACCGTATGCTTTCCAGTCTAGAAGCTTGAAAACGTCTTCCAATGCAGCGGTGAAGAGTTTCGGGGATATAACATCACCCTGTCTTACACCTCTCTGCAATTGGATAGGTTTCGTACTCTGGTTCTGTACTCGGATAGCCATCGTAGCCCTACTGCACAAGCACTTCAACACTTCGATATACCGACAGTCAACTTGGCACCGCTGCAGGGACTGCAGCACCGCTCAAATTGCGACGGAATCAAAGGCTTTCTCATAGTCCTCATACGCCAGACATAGTGGCAAATTGTACTCCTCGGACTTCTGTACAATTTGCCGAAGAGTATGTATGCGGTCTATGGTGCTAAAGCCTTTTCGGAAACCGGCTTGTTCGGGAGGCTCGAAGTCGTCAAGTCTGCACGCAAGACGATTCGTAATGACTCTCGAAATCAGCACGTAGAAGGTGCTCATAAGGGAAATCGGTTTGTAGTTCTTCAAGAGAGCGTTGTCGCCTTTCTTGAAGAACAAGACCACCGCACTTCTGCTCCACGCCTCCGGTGTAATGCCATCATGGAGGACGGAATTAAAGAGCTTCTGAAGGACTTCAAGTACCGGTTTTCCACCGGCTTTCAGAAGCTCTGCTGTAATTCCATCCTCGCCTGGGGCCTTGCCGTTTTTAAGGTGCTGAAGAGCCATTCTAATTTCGCTCAGACTAACGTCCAGGATATCATCGGTATAATGTCGGATAAGACTCGCTCTTGGATCGTTACTTACACTTGCGTGTGGCTCCAACGATGATGTGTACAGCTGCCCATAGAACCTCAATCTCACTCAAAATCTCAGGTGTCCCAGAAATGACGCTGCTACACTAGGTCTTCAGATTCGACAGTTGGCTCTTTCTGGCAGACAGATCTCTGGAAATGACTTTGGAGCCCTGGTTCCGCTCGATCGCTTCTTCAATACAAGCTGTATTAAAGTTGCGTAAGTCCCGCCGCATGCATTTGGAGATCTGTCTGTTCAGTTGCCCGTATGGTGTCAAATCTACTGAAGACTGCATCTTCATATCCCGTCTAACAGCCATTAGATAAAGAGTGTGATCGGAGAGTTTTTGTGTTCTTCTGCGGCGGGTCTTGCAAAACTTAGTTCCGACTGCATGGACAGTTTCCACGAGCTTGTCACTTATATCGTCCACTGCATCTTCCATGCAATCTTCTAGGCACTAAAAACGGTTTCTTAGCTCGAGCTGTAAGGTTTCGGCACTTTGTATTAGAGCACGAGGGAGACGGAGCGTTGATTTCATTAGACGTGACCTCTCCAACTTAACGTTTAAGTTCAGTGTGCCTCTCACCATTCGGTGATCGCTGCCGGTTTTCCCCCTCGCGATCACTGAGACATCACTGAACAGTTATCGTCTGGTCTCGTCATAATGAAATCAATCTCATTTTTTGTCGAACCGTCGGGGCTCGACCAGGTCCACTTCCTGTGGGGCCGCTTCTGGAAGGAAGAGTTCATCATAAAGAGTCCCTCTTTCTCCATGAAGTCGGCCAGCTGCTGGCCCCTTGGGTTCCGTTGCCCTATTCCGAAATTCCTTACTTTCAGCTCACCGTTCTCTCTTGTGCTAGTTTTGCGTTGAAGTCTCCCATTAACACCGTATCGTGGGTTTTGGAGGAATGCATGGCTCTAGAGATATCCTCATACATTTCCTCCACCTCCTCATCGGGGTGTGCCGAGGTTGGTGCGTAAACCTGTATAACCTTCAGCGAATACCGTTTGGTGATTCTGAGTATAAGGTACGCAACCCTCGTCGACACACTCTCAATCTTTACAACGTTGTTAACGAGAGACTTGTGGACGATAAATCCGACACCTCCTTGCGACAGATGGTCGCCCTCCCGGTGATAAAGCAAGTTGCCGGATTCGAGGTTACCGTGTCCTCCCCCTCTCTTCGGACCTCGGATAATCCTATGATATTCCAGCGCAACTTGTCTATCTCTTCTTCCAGCTCCAGGATCTCCTCGTCAGTCCTCAGGGTGCGTGCGTTATAAGTTGCCAGGTCGAGTCGTCGTAGGTGGCAACCGTACCTCCACCGGAGATTGTTAGCACTCCCTGCCCCGTCGTTACCATGGTCGCCACCGTAGCCAGGAATATCGGGGCCGCTGGCGACTGGGGGCCGTCTCTTTGTTACTCTTATTATTGGGAAGGGGGGGTTAACGTATATTTGCCGATAGATAAAAGTACTCCATTAATTTGGCCAATTTTTTAGCTAAAAGTGATTGAACTAACCTCGCTTATAGAAGAGTTCACTGCTACTTTCTCTCAGTTGTCATCGGGCTGTGAGGGTTAAAAGTCGTTCGCGCTCCGAGCCGAGTGTTGAATTATTTAAATATTTCATTATCTCTTACACTATGCGTCCAAATAATCTATAATATAAAAATGAATCGCTGAATGTGTTGCTAAGCGCAAATCTCGAGAGCAGCTGAACCGATTTCGCTAATTCTTTTTTTATAATATTCCTTAAAGTACGAAAATGATTCTTACGGAGAGAAAAATTTGTAAAAATTGCCTGAAAAAGTCTAAAAACAGCACTTTTCTATATTCCCATAGAAAAGATTCGTAATAATACTTAAAAGTCAATTTGAACTTTATTATCATACCATAAAGCTTAAGTGTTAGTGGAGGGGTTCCGGGAAGGCAAAACAATTGAGTGACGTTAGTATCGCATAAATATTAATGTCAATATTTGTCAATATTTATACGATGGTAAACTCAAAAACAAAATTAGGGTTCCGCGCAAAATAATGATATCCATGAAATCGCAGTAAATTCCACGCGGGCGAAATCGCGGGGCACAGGTAGTATACTATAAAGAGCAAAGTTTATCTTCATAATATTCGTATAATTTCTTAATGATGCAGTAACTTTCGTTCGTAAAGATTGATAATAATCGTAATAATAATCGTCTAATAATAACGCTCATAAATCACTTTTTAATTTTTAATAATTTTTGTCACATAATACCTATTGCGGCCTATGAATAAGAAATAGGCATATGGTATTGCGGATTTTTTTTAGATGGAGTAAAGATCTATATTTTTGTAGAATATTATATTCACGTATCACTATATACTACGCCAGCGCACGCGAATAAATCATTTCAGGAGTGCTTTTTCTTCTGACTTGCTTAACAATAATCAATATTTAAGGCTAGCTGACAGGTGTAGCCTAATGCTAGGTAGCCAATACAACAATAAAACGGACTGGAAGTTTCAGAGATTAGCGCGTTTAAACAAACAAAAAAACTATTCCGCTTTATTATATTACATTAGTATAAAACGAATAAGCACACATTCTACCAAATAGTTATAATATATTTTTATAGAATACGCGTGACAAACGAGCACACAGTCCACCTGATGGTAAGTGGTTTCTGTAGCCCATAGACGTATACATTCTTCCTCGATTAAGAATCAAATTACAGATGCGTTGGCTAAACAGTGACCCTTGGGACATAGATGGAATGTCTCGTTTCCAATTAAAAGGAATCCCGGCTCGGCTATATGAAACACTGCTGCATTATCTGCTATTTCTGGAAAAATAGAATAGAATAGATTTTTTTTAATTCAATTTAGATTACAAGTACATCTTATTGAAACTCATGTTTAACGTTTTCTAGTGGTTTGGAAAAACCTCTGTCCTTGGGAGAACCAGCAAGAAACCTAGCGGGACTCTTTTTGGAAGATCACACAATTGCTTATTTGTGGGCTGCATTTTAAATTATTTAAGCTATTATAATTGCAAGAGATTACTACCATTATGGCATTTTCTCATTTAAATTAATTGGAACTGATTCCAAATTTAATGTTTAGTTATTATGTTGTTCCATAGAAACAGGTGTCTGCGTAGCTATAACCTTGGTTAAGAACCAAAAGCTTCGCCGAGAAACCAAAATCTTGGCTAAGAACCAGAATATTATTCCCCAGTCGGTCCATAATATAGCTATAATATAGCTGCAACATGGCTCTACCACATGTTTACCTACTTACATTTCCTTTTTTATCTTGTTCACAGGTTGAAATGCTATATCAGCGTTACTTCCTACGCATGAACCAGACTAACATGACGCATCTACTCGGACTGCTACTAACGGTTGCTTTAGCGCTAATGGTGGTGCAGGTTCACACACTGCTCATCGCTCAGGACTTCTTTAGCGGCATTGTTCTACCCACCAATGCATCCGTTTTCATTGATTCAAACCCATACCGGTAAGTTGCATATATCTTCTTATAATATAAAAATGAATCGCTGAATGTGTTGCTAAGCGCAAATCTCGAGAGCAGCTGAACCGATTTCGCTAATTCTTTTTTATAATATTCCTTGAAGTACGAATATGGTTCTTACGGAGAGAAAAATTTAAAAAATTGCCTGAAAAAGTCTAAAAACAACACTTTTCTATATTCCCATACAAAATGTTCGCAATAATACTTAAAAGTCAATTTGAACTTTAATACCATACCATAAAGTTTAAGTGTTAGTAGAGGGGTTCCGGGAAGGCAAAACAATTGAGTGACGTTAGTATCGTATAAATATTAATGTCAATATTTGTCAATGTTTATAAGATGGTAACATTACTCAAAAACAAAATTAGGGTTCCACGCAAAAAATTGTTATCCATGAAATCGTAGTAAATTCCACGCGGGCGAAGTCGCGGGGCACAGCTAGTATATAGATAAAATATAATTATCTGTCTGTAATATCGAAATAATTGGTTTTTGTTAAGCTCAGGGGTTATTTGCATTCCATTAAAATATGAATAACCATTTTTGTAATGATTTCCTGATTATGAAATGATATGAGATATTGAAATGACTGAAGCAATTGTAATGATACTTCACGAACAAATAGAAAGCAATGCCAGAAGTGATCTAGGCTATATTTTATTCAAAAACTTGGATGTGTTTTTATGAAACAAACTAAAATATGATAAATGGTCTTTGATTATTATTTTGAATCCAAATAACGCCATATTAGTAGATACTACCCAGGCTACCCCAGGAAGCCGGAGCGGGTCGCTGGTTCATGAATAGTTTATAGAACATTTAAATGTGCCCTATTGTTACGATATATTAAAATCCTCCTCACTTCGTGGATTGCAAAACTTAGGGAAGATCCTCGTGGTTGCCGACAGATGGGGTAACCATCATCATCACAACCTATCGAAGTTCACTGGCCAACATAGCCTTTTCTAATATATTGTTTCATAGAAGAGACACATATGCTATAGTTGCCACGCGTGGCAGGCAAGTTGGCAACTGCAGATTTTTATTATTTTAAGTTACTCTCAGGAATATCTTGCGTTTCTTTTGTAATTTCTGGCGTAATGATTATCGTTCACGAGTAAAAATGAAGTTAGCGTAATGTTTTTTGTAACTTCATTTTTATTCGTCGCCGTATATTGATGGACTCTAACAACCCATATAATCCCGTTGGTGTTGTAGTATTTGGCATAAGTAACTAAATAATAAACAAAACATTTGATAGATGTCACCAAAACAAAATTGCTGCCACAGGCCACCAAAATCTATCCGCGCCAATTAAAAACCCTTTAGCACGAATGGGTCAGCGCAACCGGGGTAAGACAAAGCTGTCACAGAATACCAGCGAATCGGAGACGCTTTTTACCGGAAACGAGGCATTCCATCTTAGTCCTTAGGTGTGACAACGCATCTGCATTTTGATTCTGAATTGAGTATAAATGTAAATAGGTATCTATGGACCATCCATTTACCATTACTGTGTATGTCACCGTTATTCCATAAAAAAGTTAAATAGGGTTCAAGGTTTATTGAAAACATTACTATTTTATAAACTGAACAATTTACATAACAAATTATTAAATCTTTTTTGTTTGTCCTTAGACTTGAATTGACACCGGAGCCACTGAACCTGACCACATTGAATTTCGACTACTTGCTCGAGGGTAATGCTTCCCACCTGAAGCGCGTCTACTACGCGAAGGAACGCGCCGCACACATCGTTAACGTCATAGTTCTCGGGATTACTGCACTAGTTTACGCCTGTGAGTTGCAATTACCTAGCTACTGTCGTAGAAACTTTGTATCGCTTTTATGTGACATAATAGCAGCTTAGTAGTTAACATGTAAGTTTCATTTAATACTATGAAAGAGATTTTCTACTTTAAACATGTTAATATAAGTGATATTGCTGGAATTATATAATATTTGCATGTAACAAGGTAAATGTACTAAAGTATTTTGTACTGACTATAACTGTAGGAACGTTCCACACTAGATGATGGAATTAAAGTTGCAATGATTGTTGCTTAGTTGAGAATCTTAATAAATCAAAATCAGGCAATAAAAGTGAGGAAACCTATGTTTGACAGTAGGCATATGATGAGGTGTGTAGTTGATGATGATGATGGATTCATGCAAATAACTACATAAGAGATTCACATGAAAGCTTCACGTGAGTTTGTTGAAAAGAATAAAATACTTTTTGCTTACACTCACTGAGTGGGATTGAGTAAAGCGTATGCTTTAAAACTCACTGTTTCAATAAATGAACCTTTGTCCTGGAAAGAACTAGCAAAAAACCCGGAGGTTTTTTTTTTCAATAATATATATATATATATATATACATATATATATATATATATATATATATATATATATATATATATACATATATATATATATATATATATAAATATATATATATATACGAACGCACCCTGAGGACTGACGATAAGATCGTGGAGCTGGAAGAAGAGATAGACAAGTTGCGCTGGCATATTATAGGATTATCCGAAGTCCGAAGAGAGGCACGGTAATCCTCGAATCCGGCAACTTGCTCTATCACCGGGAGGGCGACCATCTGTCCCAAGGAGGTGTCGGATTCATCGTCCACAAGTCTCTCGTTAACAACGTTGTAAAGATCGGGAGTGTGTCGACGAGGGTTGCATACCTTATACTCAGAATCACCAAACGGTATTCGCTGAAGGTCATACAGGTTTACGCACCAACCTCGGCACACCCCGATGGGGAGGTGGAGGAAATGTATGAGGATATCTCTAGAGCCATGCATTCCTCCAAAACCCAATATACGGTGTTAATGGGAGACTTCAATGCAAAACTAGGCACAAGAGAGAACGGTGAGCTGAAAGTAGGGAAATTCGGAATAGGGCAACGGAACCCAAGGGGCCAGCAGCTGGCCGACTTCATGGAGAAAGAGGGACTCTTTATGATGAACTCTTTCTTCCAGAAGCGGCCCCACAGGAAGTGGACCTGGTCGAGCCCCGACGGTTCAACAAAAAATGAGATTGACTTCATTATGACGACCAGACGACAACTGTTCAGTGATGTCTTCGTGATCGCGAGGGTGAAAACTGAATGGTTAGAGGCACACTGAACCTAAACGTTAAGTTGGAAAGGTCTCGTCTAATGAAGTCAACGCTCCGTCCCCCTCGTGCTCTGTTCCAAAGTCCCGAAACCTTTCAGCTCGAGTTACAAAACCGTTTTCAGTGCCTAGAAGACTGCAATGAAGTGGACGATATGAATGACAAGCTCGTGGAAACTGTCCATGCGGTCGGAGCTAAGTTCTGCAAGACCCGCCGCAGAAGAACACAAAAACTCTCCGATCACACTCTTAATCTCATGGCTGTTAGACGGGAGATGAAGCTACATTCTTCAACAGACTTGACAGCATACAGGCATCTGAACAGATAGATCTCCAAATGCATGCGGCGGGACTTACGCAACTTCAATACAGCTCGTATTGAAGAAGCAATCGAGCGGAATCAAGGCTCCAAAGTCTTTGCCAGAGATCTGTCTGCCAGAAAGAGCCACCTATAATAATAGTAATAATAATTCTTTTATTGTCAAAAATAAATCACAAGAAATTTTATGAAGTCTCTGACTCCTAAACTAGACGAGTCTGTATCTTAGGAATCAGCGGCCTCTCCCAGAGTTGTACTAAAAGAACGGGTAATACTAAAAGAACTATGCATGTTTTCATTATTGAAACAAAAGAAAAGTAAACAACTTTACAAAATAAAATCAAAAATTAATAAAAGTTGTAATATAATAAAGTATTCTATATGTGTTATATTTAATACTAAACGTCTATACTATACATATATTTAATATATATATATATATATATATATATACAAGACGAGCACACACATATATATGTGTATATATACTTATATAATTATCAAATATATATATATACTGGGTGGCGCCCAGGTTATCACGTTAAATAGCACAACAGTTAATACAAGTTGATATATGTCTGTTAAAATAATAAAATAAACAATAATAAAAACTAATAAAAAATGCATCTTTCAAGCAAAATAAATAGGGTAAAAAATCACATAAAATAAATCATCCTTGATAATATTACTTAACTGACCTGAAATGACTTGTAGAAGCGGCAACGTCGCGGCCAGCGGTTCATTGCTCATGCGACATCGATATAGGTAATTATATATACCTATAATACCTAGGTCCTAGGACTTGCCCATACATAGGTAATTAGGCACGCGTAGGGCGATGCTAATCCGATGTTATCAACAAATCACAAATTTCATGGTATTTTTTTATCCAAATAATCACTTTAATCTTGAAATCACTCAAGTTTATGAAACAAATCAAATTTTTAAATTTTCAAAATGTCCGCCGTGTACCCGAATGCATAATTGACATCGTCGCATGATATTATTTCGGAATTTTCGAAAGAGGGCACCATTGGCTGCAAAATTTTTTATTTTGTCGAAAGCCCGCATTATTCTTATTTTTAAGTCCTCGACAGTCGTTACTTCAGTAGAGTACACCTCATTTTTTATGTAACCCCATAAAAAGAAATCTAACGGTGTTAGATCCGGAGACCGTGCTGGCCACCGAGAAGGTCCGTATCTGCCAATCCAGTTCTCTCCGAACATCTCAGTGAGGCGCTGCCTGGCAGCCACCACTGAATGAGCAGGTGCTCCATCAAGCTGGTACCATAACCGGCTATTGGCCCCCAACGATAGTCCATCAACGTAATCCGCCACTGTGTCGTCAAGCAGTTCCAAAAATTTAGGCCCATTAAGGTTGCCTTCGATAAACACGGGACCAATTATTTGATCTCCATGTATTCCAGCCCAAACATTAACGGCAAATCTATATTGGTGCATAGACTCTCGACACAGTTGCGGATTTTCTTGACTCCAGTATCGTAAGTTCTGCCGATTCCATATTCCGTTACGCGTGAATGTGCTCTCGTCAGTCCACATTACGTTTGCTAAAAAGTTAGAGTCATTAGCTACTTTGCTCAGGAGCCATTCACAGTAGGCTTCCCTAACTGGCTTATCTCTATCTAATAAAGCCTGTACCTTTACGTATTTGAACGGCCGTTGCTTGTTTTTTTTTAATATTCTGTGAACAGACTTGTGGTGTACACAGAATTGGCGAGCTGCTCTACGGAGACTTGATGTTGGATTACGAGCGAAATAATTTAATATTCGTTCTTCCTGAGCCACGGCGACTCGCGGAGGAATTTCAACCTGACGTGGAATCAAATTTTCGCCGTCACGTAATCTTTGGACTGCCCGTATAAAAATCCGTGAGTCTGTAGGACATACACGTGTGGTATTATACCTCTCTCGGTATGTTCGTAATGCCAGGGACGCGTTTTGGTGGCATTCTCCATAAATTAAAACCATATCGGTGTATTCCAATGACGTAAAATTGATACGAGGCATTTTAAAATAAAAAAAAGTTATACGTTTAAAAAAATAAAAGCGTCCAATTGCGCACGGGCTGACACACCACTAAGTTATTAAATATCACTTATCTATTATTAACGAGTCCTATCACAAATAAAAAATACAAGACAGTAAAAGAAAGCGTCAAATTTCGCACAAATAGTCACACCACCTCCTCAACACAATTATTATTATAGTATTAACGTGTCCTATCACAAACAAATCAAGAAACTTATGAAAATATCCACAAAAAAAAACTTTAAATTAAAAGGACGTGTACGCGAAAAACTAAAATTAGGTCAAGCGATTAATGAACCGTTCCCAAGGACGCCGGCGTCGGACTAAGTGACTTACTGTCTTATATCGTCGCACGCGCCAATCGACCACATTCCACCCTCCCAACACCCCGTCCCAATTCTTGTCGCATCGCGCATAAGAATTATGCCTTATTTTGTTACATATAAGTACATTTTTTGCTTAATTTATTACTTTATTTGATTATTTAAAATTGGCAACGTTGCACTATAATACAATATAGGTCTCTTGGCCTTCACGGGCCATGGGTCTTTGAACTTCTAGTATTTATCAGGTGATATCTGATGCATTTACATGATGTTGTTTAATATTAAAACAAAAAAAAGGCTACCGCGCCCAGAATGTTAACTGTTATATATTTTTTTAGTTGTGTATGTTTAAAGAACTTTGTATAGAATACGTCTTTTCATTTAACGTGATAACTTCATCGTCACTTTGTATATTATATATATGTATGTATATATATATATATATATATATATATATATATATATATATATATATATACATATATAAATACTAAAGTTCATATATAAATTATGCATAAACATAAACGAAACGTTAATATTAATTGTCCACACATTAATCACTTCCCTGTTTTTGTTTATTTATTTATTTTGAAACTATAAATTAAATTAATAAATTAAATTAAATCAAATTAAATTAATAAATTTTCTGTTTTATTGTAATCTAATGACAACAACCAATCACGAACTTTAATTTTACACTCGTGTTTTGAAAGAGGATAGAAATTTAGAATTTAGTTAAGTTTGTTATAGAGTACTATAGAGAGATATGCGCTTTGTCGTCTAGCAAAAACAGTGCGGCATCTAAACGGTGCCAGTACGTTGGGTATTCTACGTTAATTACGACAGATCTCAGGGTCGTAGGGAGTGCGATCGTGTTGCTTGGTGATCAAATTTTGAACGTATAATTGCCTGACAGACAGCAACTTGCATTCGCTGTATAATAATTTTGTTGAGTACCTATAAGGTTTGAAAGTCATAGTTTTTAGTAAACATCTTTGAGCTCTTTCGAGCTTAATTAAAAAACTTTTGCACGATCCTCCCCAGACACTTATGCAATAGCCTATAATTGATTGTGCTAAAGTAAAGTATACTGTGCGCAATAAATCAAAATCAGCAATGTGTCTTAGCTTTTTAAATGTCCAAATAAGTATACGAGTCTATATTATTCTATCAAAGCTGAAGACAGAATTTGGCAGCATCGTTTCCGGGACACCTGAGATTTTGAGTGAGATTGAGAGGTTCTATGGGCAGCTGTACACGTCATCGTTGGAGCCACACGCAAGTGTGAGTAATGATCCAAGAGCGAGTCTCATCCGACACTATTCCGAAGATATCCCGGACGTCAGTCCGAGCGAGATTAGAATGGCTCTCCAGCACCTCAAAAACGGTAAGGCCCCAGGCGAGGATGGAATTACAGCGGAGCTTCCGGGTGGAAGACCGGTACTTGAAGTCCTTCAGAAGCTCTTTAATTCCGTCCTCCATGGTGGCATTACACTGGAGGCGTGGAGCAGAAGTGCGGTGGTCTTGTTCTTCAAGAAAGGCGACAACGCTCTCTTGAAGAACTACAGACCGATTTCCCTTCTGAGCCGCGTCTACGTGCTGTTTTCGAGAGTCATTACGAATCGTCTCGCGCGCAGACTTGACGACTTCCAGCCTCCCGAACAAGCCGGTTTCCGAAAGGGCTTTAGCACCATAGACCACATACATACCCTTCGGCAAATTGTACAGAAGTCCGAAGAGTACTAATTGCCACTATGTCTGGCGTATGTGGACTATGAGAAAGCCTTTGATTCCGTCGAAATTTGGGCGGTGCTGCAGTCCCTTCAGCGGTGCCAAGTTGACTGTCGGTATATCGAAGTGTTGAAGTGCTTGTACAGTAGGGCTACGATGGCTATCCGAGTACAGAACCAGAGTACGAAACCTATCCAATTGCAGAGAGGTGTAAGACAGGGTGACGTCATATCCCCGAAACTCTTCACCGCTGCATTGGAAGACGTTTTCAAGCTTCTGGACTGGAAAGGATACGGTATCAACATCAATGGCGAGTACATCACTCACCTTCGATTTGCCGACGATATAGTCCTTATGGCAGAATCGCTGGAGGACCTAAGCACTATGCTCAATGACCTCGATAGTGTTTCCCAACGGATAGGTCTTAAGATGAACATGGACAAAACTAAGATCATGTTTAATGTCCATGTCACACCTATGCCGGTAGTTGTTGGGAGCACTAAGCTCAAAGTTGTTGACGAGTATGTTTACCTGGGACAAATAGTCCGACTAGGTAAGTCCAACTTCGACCGAGAGGTCAATCGACGGATTCAACTCGGCTGGGCAGCGTTCGGGAAGCTACGACACATCTTTTCGTCAGACATACCTCAAAACCTGAAAACGAAATTGTACAACCAGTGCGTGTTGCCAGTGATGTCTTATGGAACTGAGACGTGGTCCTTCACTACTGGCCGTATGAGGAAGCTCAAGGTCGCTCAGCGAGCTATGGAGAGGGCTATGCTCGGAGTTTCTCTGCGTGATAAACTTAGGAATGAGGATATCCGCAGTAGAACCAGAGTAACCGACATAGCCCAACGGATTAGTAAGCTGAAGTGGCAGTGGGCCGGCCATATAGCTCGAAGAACCGACAACCGATGGGGAAGAAAGGTTCTCGAGTGGCAGCCTCGTACCGGTAGGCGAAGTGTAGGGCGTCCCCCCACGAGATGGAGTGACGACCTGGTAAGACATGCAGCAAGTCGATGGATGCAGGTGGCTCAGGATCGTGCTTTGTGGCATTCTTTGGGGGAGGCCTATGTTCAGCAGTGGACTTGTGAAGGGCTGTAATGATGATGATGATATATATATATATATGTGTGTGTGTGTGTGTGTGTGTATGTGTGTTGGAAAATCACCTCGTTCCCAGGATCCCAGCAATCATGCCTTCCTCAGTATTATCTTCATCATTATAATCATTACAGCCCATTTAAACTACACCACTGACATAGGTTTCTTCCATAGGGATTCCGCCTAAAAAGCAATTTATGACAATATTAGCGTAGGTGGGTCGAAGGTGGTCTTACCTATTTCTGCCGTCAAATGGTAGTTCCTTCACTGCTATGTTCCGGTCAGAAGTATAATTATAGGCTATGACGCATACTTTCTTAGTCCTCAGAGGTAACCTTCCTCGTTTGAAGTTCGTTGCAGGTGTCAATGAGCTGCAGTAACCACTTAACATCAGGTGAACTGTAATATCGTTTAGTACATTAACTCTCCAGTTTTCTTCAGTCGCTTCTTGGCAATTGTTTTAATATTATAATTATAGAGTACATATAACACACTTTTGTTAAATAATTTTTTTTAACCTTGGAACCTTATCTACTGGGCATAGGCTTCTGGGACTTTATTGTAAAAGCCCATTGTCTCTAGGAAGATTTATTGTATTTTTGGATTCGAATAACTGGTATTAAAAGCTTGTCGTTCTAAATATTTACAGAATATGCGTCCCAATAATAAACCTATATTTTTTTGTTTATGTAATGTACATTGTCGTTATTACATGGAAAAGCCAAAGTAAATATATTTATTTCTTTAAATTTTCCCTGAAAAAATCCTTCGTAAATTATTGTTTTCATTTCTGTAAAAATAAAGATAGGTATTAAGTATCAATATCAGTATCGCAGCGTGATTTAATGCGACTTCAAGCTACTTCAACAACTTCAAGCAATTAATTTTAAAAGAAAGCTATTAAGAGAGTATAATAAAAAAAGTGTGTGTGTGTATACTTATGTACGCACGTAGGGAGTTATACTTCTTTAGCGTAACAAAACAAAAAAACTTGAGAGACAATTACCCACTGAAGTTGTCCCTTTTAGGCAATTTTAGGTGACAGTGTGCGCACGCATCGTAACAACTTCATGGTGTCGTTTTTAGCTGTTGGTATGCGCGCGCATCGTAAAAATTCACTCTCATAATTTTTACCAAACGCCCCAAAAGAAGTATAACTTCAAAAATGTGAGAAATATACTTTTTATTAGTTTACATGATAATCCAATAAAGTAAATTATTTGTATTATACTATATTCTCACGTTATGAATATACCTCAATTTACATGGTCTAAAGAGTTCTATTTGGGCTTCGTTTTTTGCTTATACGTACATATCTAATCTCATTAGCTATTTCTGCTGCGAAACAGTGTTCCGGGCTGAAATATACAATGAAGATAAATATTCTATCGTTCTTTACGATAAATAATGGTCGTAAAAAATACGATGAGAGTCGATAAACGATTAACTTATATTTAGGCATATTGTTGCATAGCTTCTAGGTCCCTAACATTTTTCACAGTTCTATATGTTTTATACACTTTATATATTTAACTAGAGGATCGAAAACCATTTTCAATTTTTCATTTAGTTACTAATTAAAGGAAATATTTTTATTGCACTCTTCTATACGGTTCCGCGCTTACGATCTGGGATACATTTTCCAATTAATATACCAAAAAAATAATACAATTTGTTTAGCTTCCAATACGAAGGGGAAAGCCTCCATGACATTTCACGAGTACTCAGTTTAGTTTTATATTACATCATTACTTTGGTTGTAACATTTTTTTGGATATATCTGCAAGTAGTTATCTTTTTTACCGTAAAAATCCTTTTATTCCATAAATCATGATGACTGTTGTTGTATATTTGTTATACTTGTTCTAATATAGCATACATATATAATCTTTTCTCTGTTATTTTATTTACAAGCCGTAACAAATCTTCATGAAATCACATACTAATTAGCTTCTGTTACCATTGACAGGTCTCCTGGCATGCTTGAGCCGACCAGCCATGAATGAAATATACCTGCTAACGATCTCCTACGTGGTGCTGGCAACCTTTCTCTTAATTGAGTTGGCACTTGCTGGAACTTCAGTTTTCAGGTATTTATTGAAGTTATTTTTTAAATAAAATTCGATATATTTATTTTGCATAAATTATGCGCAGCTATTATATATAAATAAATATAAAAATAAGTAGCAAGCCGAGTTGGCTTCACTTGGATGGGGTTCATTAATGCGGTGTTATTTAGATTTAAGATAATTATCAAAGATCATTCATTTTTTCAATTATATCAGTTTTTCGATGTCTTGACAACTCTCCAAATTTTTCGGAAAAATTTAGCCTTGACACTGGTATTGCTCTTTACATATATTTGTTCCTCAAGTTTCATTACAATCGGTTAAGCCACCCCGAACATTAATCCGGACAGACAGACAGAGAAAAATTATAAGCTCGATACAGGTCATTTATTTCGATTTTACAGAGAGACACTTCGATTTTGGAATAAAATAAAATAAAAATAAAAAACAGCTAGTGCACTATAACTATTAATACAGCGCATCACAAGTCTGACTACTGACTGATGACTGTCCCACCTAATCGGTGGTCGTTCAACACTGCGTTTTCCAGCACGAGCCTGCCATTCGAAAACCTTTCTTCCATATCGGTTGAGATTTAAAAATACATATCATGTCATTGAATATTTAAAATTAAAATAATAAAAAACATTTCAATATTATACGAAAATATTGTTAATGTTTTTTATCAATTTTAATTTTTTTCTACTCGTACTTAAAAGAAAGGCCGCTCAGAATTTGTTGAAAGGCACAAGGGCACATTCCAACCCTGATTATTAGTGACCCAATTTCCAACATTTTTGGGTCGTTTGTTTTAGGTATGGTTCTTTTGAAAAACGTACCCTCATAAGTAATGTTATTTACTATATAATGTAAATTATATAGTAAATAAGCTACAGTAAATGTAACTTTGAAACACCACAAAATATATAAGTTCCTATGGATTTTTACTATACCAAACAAAATCGTAAGTAAAAGTATCCTATCTTACTTGCCTACTGTGTAAATTGTAAATTCTCTATCCGTTTACTGCGTAAATGTTATTACAATGAAATGCCATTTATCTTCTTTCTAATCTTATATAAACTCGGTAACATGTACATTTAACATGACCTATTTTACATTGTATATATCCTTTAAAAATCGAGTAATGGTGGCTCGAACCTATACTAGGTTGCTGTTATAATACATATAATTTTTTTGTCTCTTAACATAACAAATATTTATCTGCTTGATAGTTGAAATTTGTGATACTTCCAGACAGAATGCTTGTTAATACCTAAATTTTTCTGTGCTGTATCCCATCTAAAATATTCCTGCAAAATTTTAGACGAAATATCTAGTTTAAGTAAAACACTATAATTCAATACTTGACTACCTGATGTTAAGCGGTGACCTGACTGAATACGGTAAGACGCACTGAATAAGGTTCGCAAAAGTCTTTTCACTCTTGCCTTGAAGGCATCCACATTGTAATCGGATAGAAAGACAGACGCTAGAAAATTATTCTATATTTTTGCTTTACGAGGTAAATCCCAAAGACGCCAACAATGGCGTGGAGACTGACTGAGCGTATTATTGTCCGATGTTGAAAGAGAGTGTGGAATTGTTAACTCGTGCATTACTATTTTTTTCCAATTTTGCTTTATATAATAAATTGTTGTATATAAATAACTTACACGTTCTATAAAAATAGAATTACTAACTGATTCTAAAATGCGAGACCACGTTAAACGGGCATTCTAATTCCATTACACATTTTGCGCTAAGTTAATTCTGTCTATTGATAATATGCTTTATTCCTACTTTCAGTCGCCATCTTGGCCAGTTTAAATCTCTATTAAAGCAAGGAATATAACCGCATTATAACGCCTATTATTATACAAAATTATTTATTTACTAAACAAAATAATTGTGAAATATCCTTAAATAATATTAATGAAACTTAGTATCATATTTAATACCCAAACAACCGATGCGCCTCGTCCGCGCACGGGTGATTGCTGCATTTCACAACGCCACTTACCGAATCCAATTGTAAATCTAAACCATCCTTGGACCCCCTCAAACACACACAATAGCAGCGTAAAATGGCGGCTTGACAATGCTGTCTTTCGTGTGGTGAGTGTAGAGAACCGGAGACCCATTTTAATGGAAAAGAGGCATTCCAACTTAGTCCTCACAAAGTGACGACGCATCTGCATTTTGATTCTTTATTGAGGATAAATGTAGATGTCTATGGGTCACAGCAACCACTTACGATCTAGTTTGTCACCCTATCCTATAAAAAAAATACAAAAATTTTCATCAGACTCGTTTGAGGCAGTTTCGAGTTTTAGCCAAACTAACGGACATTTAATTTTTATAATATATGAGTTAATAATATGGATTTAATATAGTATAGTATTTAAAAAGTAAGTGCAGGGGAAGGCACTGCAATCTACTTCGGAAACTGATGTTTTGAAAAATAAACTTTACTGCTTAGAATGTTTTAGATGTGTGTACGATTGTGTGTATTAGTGCGCACCGAAATGGCGCTCCTCCACTACACCTGCCCTCCCCTCTCTTACAAAGCCACTGGTAAGTGTTTGAGTTACACGCAGTAAAAAACTAATAATCATATAGCCACAATATAGTATTTTGATTCAAACGAAAACTTTTCAACTTAAACGCTATTGTATCAAAACAATTAAACCGTTTGTTAACTTAGCTCTTTTTACTATTTAATTCAAACAATTGCTTCTGTTATGAGTTGTTCCGTTTGTTAATTCGTGATGTTGGAGACGGAACATTATCACAAATTGAACGTTATCACAAACTTTCGAAACCTTTACAAAACCAAACTTTCGAAGCTCAAACCGTTCTCTCGTTAGTCACTGTTTCAATCTGTTGATTTTCTGTGGATAAATCATTTGTTTTCTATTGTGCTGCCGACGAGATAAGCCAAATTGACATTATATAGTCGTTAACGTGAATAGAGAACTTTAAAAATTAATAAAATCAAAGAGAGGTCACGTGACTTAACAATGAGATATATAATTTTCATTTATTTTCAACCGACTTCAATAAACAGGAGGTGGTTCTCAATTCGACTCTATTGTGTTGTGTTTTTATGTGTGTTACCTTACAAGATTTCTAGTTCAACCGATTTTCATGATTCTCTTTTTTATTTGAAAGCTGGTGCTTCTCATGTGGTCCCATATATGTATATTTGATCAAGATCTGACTAGTAGTTTCTGAGTTATCATTAATAATGCGTATTTAATTGACTTCGACTACATTGATTATGTTCTCATTTGATTTATATTGAAGTAGGTTGTACAAAATTTTAATTTTACCACTTATCATTGTTTATAACCAGCTACTTGGCTCCGCCTGCTTGGTGTCTATAAATGTTAATTTTTCGATTTAATAAAAATCACCAATCTTTTCGCCTAAACAACTACTGGCATTAGTCTCTATCTAATCATAAATTTGGTTCAGCCAATCCGAAGATTGTCCAGACAGATAGCCAAAAAGTTTAAAAATGGTTATTCATAATGATTTCTTATATTTACGCGGACACTACACATTTAAATAAAACTAATTTTACGGATTTTATTGGGTATATGAACTTACTTGACGTTTCGAGTACTTTACAGCACCCATGGTCACGGAGGGGACTGAGGTGTTTGACGTCCCAATGTCATAATTAACCACGGCTACGTACGGAAATACGAGTAAATAAAGCTTCTACTTTTATTTGAAATTATCCCAAATTAAATGTGATTTATGGGCAACAACGTTTTTGCCTACCGATGATCCCTACGAATGTGTGCGAGCGCAGTAAAATCAGTTAAAATAATAATAATAAGCATTTATTCATTACCACCAATAAAGTTAAAATTAGTACATACAGAAATGACAAGAATTAATAAAATAATGCATTACCACGCATTTTGAATTTAAAAGATAAAAAGGACAGAATATTTGAGATTTTTTTTTTTAATAATTTTTCTTCACCATTTGCCTATATTACTTATTCTGAACCTACTCTGCAAATTTGGCCGGTTATTGTAAAATAACCTGTAAATAGTATATATGTAAAGCTTTCACTTCAAACTAATTTATTGTCTGGTAAATTCAAGGTTTATTAACATTCAATTGAAGCGACATATTAATTATTGAGTTTCGTGTTAGGTAATTACTTTAATCACATTATATTGAATATTATGATATTTTGCTTTGCTGAATTTATTATACACAAATAATAAATCCATCATTTGTGTATAATAAATCATACATCCATCTATTGCAGCCTATCAAAAGCCTCGCAGGCCTCCCATATAGTCTCATTGGGGTCATAGTTGCAAAAGCCGGCAGGCGAGTCGGCAAACACATTTTTTTATTACTTTTAATTGTTATCAGGAAGATGCTGCTACCGATCTCCTATTTCATTTTCTTCTGTTACAACACTCACGGGAGAGGAGTGGATTCACTTAAGACGCCATTACACGAAATAATAAATTCGTCGTCGACGCCGCAAAGGGGTGAACCTCAATTTTTCAAAAAACTACAGGAGAGCAAGAATATATTATTCCCCGATTACTAGCTTTTTTCATCAGAAAATAAACCTTATTTGTAGTTTTCTATTAAGTCTAATATATTTAATTTTCTGATGAAAAAAAGCTAGTAATCGGGGAGTAATAAATGTTTTCTTGTCTATTGTAATTTTTTGAAACATTGAGGTTCGCCGCTTTGCGGCGTCAACGACGAATTGAATATATCAAGTTCAATGCAGGTTGTTAAGTGGTAGAGGCACGCTGCGACCGGTTAAGTCTGTTGTGTTTCTTATGGTGAGTGTAAAGAGCCGGATACTCTTTACACTCATCATAAGAAAAGAGGGGTCACTCTTCAGTCAACGAATCTGCATTTTGATTCTTAATCAAGGATAAAATATAGATGTCTATGGGCCACAGCATCCACTTATCATCAGGTGGACTGTGTTTGTCACACTTATTCTATAAAAAAATATTGACTTCATTAAGTATAGTTGATTGGTTCGTACTCTGGCGATATTAACACAAACGTCACGTTTTTCGATTTTAACAAGTAACGAGCAATAGAGCGGAATGAATCCGCCATGTTATTCGGTGCGCTATGGTCGACTATACATGACCAGGAAAGTGTCTATACTGGTTTCCTTTTGTCTTGTTTCATGATCAAGAACGAGATAAAGCAGTACTCAAGATTGAAAATAAAGATAAAATAAAACCAATAAACTATAATACAAATAATTAAAATGTTAAATAAATTAAATGCAATGCAATGATTTTAAAAATATCGTAAATTATAATCTATTTTCATATACAAATATTCGTCGATGAATTTATTTGTTGCTTACTACTCGCTTGTTTGGTACTTTCGTATGACATATTTAACATTTCATAAATATTTCACACCGCTTGTATACAAATACCAGTTTAAAAAAAACAGCATAAAACTTCTGTGTTTCGTGTGGTTAAAGACGAAAACCGGACATCCTTTTTTACTGGTAACAAGGCAATCAGTTGTAGTTCTATTTTATTGTATTGACGACGCTTTTTGTTAAAAAAGTGGTATCATAGTTAAGTTTTATATTTAGACATAATACGAGGTAAAGCCATGCAGCAGCTATATTATGGCTTACGACGAATGGATCAACTAGACTGGGGTTATGATAAATAATGCTCTCACGGAATACCAGCATAAAATAGCAGCTTAACACTGCTGTGGTTCGTATGGTGAGTGTAGAGAACCGAAGACCCTTTTTACTGGAAAATAGGTATTCTATCTTAGTCCTCACGGGTGAAAACGCATCTGCATTTTGATTCTTTATTGAGGATAGATGTGGATCAGGTGGACTGTGTGCTCGTTTGTCACCCTATCCTATAGAAAAAAAATTCAACTAAGAGTTTGTAACAGGTCCCTGAGCGTGAGTGCCGGCACCTGCGCACTGTTCACATATGTCACCTACGCCACGCTACCGGTACGATTACATGAGGCCACAATTGGAGGGATGGCACTGGCCGCTATTAACGTCGGTGCCCACATAATTCACAACAAAACCTCGGACATACAGGTAAATTTCTATTGTGTCGACGTTTAGTTATTACTATACTATAGTTATAGTATAGTTTGGCGACACATTATTATTTTCGACAATTACGATTAGTTGATGACGGCTCTGTGCCTCGGTGTTTAAATATAAATATTAACCGAAAAATAAATGATGTGTATATCATTTATTTTTCGGTCCATAAATCAACTCCCGAACAAGAGCTTTTATTTATTAAAATCCAACGTTTGACCAAAATCCAGAGTGCTGAATCTAATATTTAGTTGGTACTACAAGTATTTATCCACTATTGTGTATGTCTCGCATATAGACTTCCTAAAGTATAATTCATACCGGAATCTAATTACAATCTAATTTCTGTGATGTTAGGGCCGTTAGCCTTTTGGCTGTTACAGCTTCATCAGTCTCAGCTAATTACATCTAGTGAAGGTTTGCTCTATACTGCGCTTCCACTGAATGTTTCCTTCTTGTGACCAATTACGCCAATGCCACCGGTCCACTGCTAATTGGAATTACTACATTTTTAAGCTATATCAGTTGCTCTTGTTTATGCGAATGTCCGATATTATAACATATCAAACCTTGGAAGAATAACCCTTATGCGGTTTATGATTTTAAGTGTCTTCTTTTGTTTTTAAGTTCTTTTTCCGTCATTTCGTTATATTATTCATATAAACTAAAACAAACAATTCAAAATCGCAAACCAGGCCTATCGTCCGCGTCTTGTTCTTTCAACGTTTGATATAAAAATTACTGCGTATATGTAACTTCTTATATATACAGCATACATAATATAGCATGTAAGATATGACACAGTAATACCAAAAGGAAGCACTATATGGTTTTTCATATTTTATTGCTCTTATCCAAATTATAGATTATTATATATAATCACCAAGAGTAGAAAATAAAAAAAAACCAACTGAAACATTTTCCTGCATTAAAAAAATTAAAACGTTATCCGTTTCTAGAACATTGTAGAATAAATGATGCACCATTAAAAAAACTTAAATAGGCAAACATATTTTAGAAAGCCGCCTGTAGAGAGCCTGGCAAGTCCGTTAAGGGAATGATATTGGAAACTGACATATTTTTAAATTTAATAACAAAATGTGATTTCTATAGATCTTTTGCAACCTGACGACACTAATAGCAAGCAACTTGGCCGGCATAATGACACACCACCCCCGTGAACTCGCGCAGCGCCGAGCTTTCCTCGAGACTCGCGACTGTGTCGAGGCCAGACTTGTCACACAACGCGAAAACCAACAACAGGTAAATAAATTATTCACTATATTTCTTTAATGTTATTTGGCATTCTCTAGTATATAATATAAAATATAGATATAGATATACATAGATATGGAAGAGCGGAGTCACCACTCCGGCCACTAATGATTGTAAACCAAATATTTTTATTGAAACTTTATTATTATTTGGGGTATAAATTTATTTCCTCATCTGTTTGGGCTGCATAAATATATAAAAGAATACGATAAATATACATTAAATATAGTAAAATATGAAAATAAAAAATTCATAAATAAATATAAGCCCAACCAGAGGGCTACCACCCTCGGCAGGAGAGACCAAAGGGATGAGGATTATGGGGAAACGGAAAGAAACCAGTGGACGATGCGGGTGGTATCGTGGAGCACCGCCTTCTGCATTTAAGCCCGGAGCGCAAGCGGTCTGTCACGGAGACCTAGTCGCCTCAGATGACCCGAGAACCTGACCGGGATTAGCCCGTTCACAGAAACGACCACAGGAATAATTCTGGTCGGCAAACCATGTCGGTCACTTCGTGAGCCAGATCTAGATATTTAGTTCACTTATCTGTTTCGGCTTTCACGAGGTTCTCGTTATACGGAATGGTAATGTCGACCAAACATATCCTTGACTGTACCAGGTACATCAGCACAATATAAGGAGGCAAGAAAAGTTCTGTCTGTGATGATGGTCCGGTCCCAGTAAAGCCTGGCGCGGTCATTTTCGAGCACGGTCTCTGGCAAGTACTCCTGGTGTAGCATCCTGGCTACTAGGTTGTGTCTATGCAAGTACTCATGTAGAAGAAGAACATCTATATCCGTACTTAGAGTTAGAAAGCGCCGAACAACCTACATGACATGCCTAATTGATTCACAAGCTCGACAAATGTCGACGTTTTCCATCGTTCAGGATGTATCTCCGATAGTTGTTGATCTTAATAAATTGGTCTTCTTTTGTTTGGTTGCACAGACAAAACTCCCTATTTTCCCGAAGAGGTCACGAAAGCGTAGCCATTAGCGGGAGGCAACTGTGTCTACAAAAGGCTCATGTAGAGCCTTGTAGAACCTCCCATCGAGCTCCTTCTCCTTCTATACAGTCTTACGGTTTGAAGTACTTTGTACTGCCGGGTCTTGGCACGAAATTAACAAGAAATGACGTCCTTCTAAAATGGATTATCAGATCTCGCCAGAAAGTTATTACGAAGGTTTCGAGATAATGCATGCTGAGAGCGCTTAAAAAGCCGCGTCCACTATGCTACCGCGGCAAGTTAGCCTCATTACTGACGATTTCGGATGATGCATCTTGTGGAACGCCATAAAAGTGCGGACTTATTACACCAGGGCGTTAAGTTATGTCTGAGCCCACCTGAGTATGCCAAAGGTATATATGAGAACGGACATAACCTAACAGTTATTTGCGCCTGCCTTATTCACGCCCGAACAGATCGCAAGCTGATTGTTTCATGTCCGCCTCTTCGATACCCATATTCTGTGATGTACCCAGGTAACGTTATACTTCAGCCTCAGAAAGGGCCCTTATGTTGATGGGCATAGATAAGTCTATGTTGTCTGAATTAGCAACCTTTCGACACGGAGAATCGTACACATATCTGTCTCTCTCATCCTTTACATTTTCCGAGCAAATTAACTACCCCGCTATGAAATCAGTCAAATATTAAGTGGCGCCACCCTGGTAGCGTGGATGCCCTCATTGCTAAACTCACAAGTGATGTTTAGCAATTACATAAGATGGAAGTGACTGGAGGCGAATAACTTGAAATCATCCATGGGTCATTTTTGACTCTCTCTTCTTCCTCTGAAATCCTTTCTCGAAGCCCTGTATTAAGGTACTGAGAGGGTTCAGGTAGAGGCAGAACCAGATTGGACTCAGACAATCACCCTGGAAGACACCCCTTTTCATCCATATGTTCTATGAACTCGCCCAGATGACAAAGGATCGTACTCCACTGCCCCATACACTACTCGAGGAAGTCTCTTACTGTACAGTCTACCTTGTACAGTTCGAGGACTCTCTTCAGCCTACTATTATTATTATTAATCTCCACCTTGTTGTGTAGTAGCGAAGTTAGAGAATCCACTACCCCAAATCACTCAGTGCGTGCCGCAAGATGCGAGAGAGGGAAACTGAAACAGGAGATAGCCAGCAGAATTTTACTGATCAGAACTTAATGAAAAAACTACGATATCAACTCGCCTGCCAGGCGTTTCAATTATCGTGAACGTCAATAAGGTAACTTTTGGGGAAGCCTTTATTCAGCCGTGTACTTTTGATGAACTGTAATGACGCTGTAGCCTGTGACAAAGTTTTCAATTACCACGGACTACAGAGTTTCAATATGATTTGTGTTTATGTAAGTTATATGAGAAACAATAAATATATATATAGGCTGAGAATTGTGCGCACCGTCAGGATGGTGTTTGCTGGGACAAATATCAGTTTGTCCCAGCCGGATATAACGCAAAAGCTGACGGAGCACATAGACGACCTGAAGCAAAAAATCGCTGCTGGGGGAAGCGGATTCGGCGATATACCGAGAGGTCGACACGGTTCAACCACAATCGTCTCTTACAGAGTGATCAGAAGAGGCTCTATGAATCATTGGAGCGATCGATGGTACGTGGAACGGGCCCAGCACCGAATCAGGCCGACACTATTGCATTCTGGCGCGGCCTGTGGTCAGAGCCCGTAAACCACAGCGAGGGTCCTTGGACGGAAATTGTGGCGAGTCAGTGTGTGAATATTACGCCCATGGACCCCTTCATCATAACGCCGGATGATGTAGCTGGGGCGGTCCGTAGGGCCCCGAACTGGAAAAGTCCGGGACTCGACGGACTGCATCACTACTGGCTGAAAGGGTTCGTGGTGTGTCACGCTGTGCTCGCCCGACGGTTTCAAGAGGCTCTCGACCAAAAGTCGCTCCCGAGCCTCTTCACTACTGGGATCACTTATTTGGTTGCTAAAGACCGGGATTCCACAGACCCAAGCAAATACCGCCCCATAACGTGTCTACCTACCATATACAAGACATTAACATCCATTTTGAGTGCTAGAATCACTCATCACCTGAACTCAAATCAGGTGATGTCGCGCGCTCAAAATGGATGTCGGGGCGGTGGTCGTGGAACCAAGGAACCACTCCTCATTGACGCGGTCATTGGCAAGGTGGTTAAACGCAACCGTCGGAACCTCTCCGCTGCCTGGATAGACTACAAAAAGGCATTCGACTCAGTGCCCCATACATGGCTTAAGAGGGTGCTCGAGCTGTACAAGGTTGACTGTACAGTTCGAAACTTCCTCGGGCAGTGTATGGGGCAGTGGAGTACGATCCTTTGTCATCTAGGCCAGCGGATGACGGATGCGGAGAATCACATAAGGATAAGAAGGGGTATCTTCCAGGGCGATTGTTTGAGTCCAATCTGGTTCTGCCTATCTCTGAACCCTCTCAGTACCTTACTGGAGGGTTCCGGGAGGGGATTTCAGCTTCGGAAAGGAGGTACAAAAGTGACCCAACTTTTCTATATGAATGATCTCAAGTTATTCGCCTCAAGTCGCTCCCATATTATTGAATTGCTAAACATCACTTATGATTTTAGCAATTCTATTGGAATGGAGCTGGGGACGGATAAGTGTGCGATCCTCCATGTCGAAAGGAGAAGGGTTGCTAACTCTTGAGGGCATCAGCATAAGGACCCTTTCCAAGGCTGAAACATACCGATACCTGGGTATGTCACAGAACATCGGTGTAGATGAGGCGGGTATGAAACGGTCAGTTTGTGATGTGTTTTATGCACGCTTGACCAAAGTGCTTGTCCGATGTGAATAAGACGCACGCATATAACGGTTGGATCATGCCTGTTCTCATGTATACCTTTGGCATGCTCAAATGGACTCGTAATGGACAGAAAAGTCCGCACTATAATGATATCCCACAGGATGTATCATCCGAGATCGTCAGTAATGAGGCTGTACTTGCCGCGGAAACATGGTGGACGCGGCTTTTTAAGCGCGCTTACCATGCATAATCGCGAAGTGTGCAGCCTCCGTAATTACTTTCTGACGAGAGCAGATGATCCATACTATAGGCTATAGGGACGTTATTTCTTGTGATATAGGGCTAACCCCTCTATCCTTAGCCAACGAACATGGCAAGTCCCGGCAGTACAAAGCATTTCCGACTGGAAGACCGTATGGAAGGAGAAGGATCTCCACGGGAGGCCCTTCATGAGCCTTTTGTAGACACAGTCGCCTCCCTCCACTGGCTACGTTTCAGTGACCTCTTTGGGGAAACTGAGAGTTTTGTCTGTGCAATACAGGATCAGGTTATTAAAACCAACAATTATCGGAAATACATCTAAAGGATGGCGCCGTCGACATCTGTCGAGCTTGTCGCCATGTCTCCGGTTCTTCGGCGCTTTCTAACTCTGAGTATTTCCACAGACACAACCTAGTAGCCAGGATTCTACACAAGGAACTCGCTCTGAAATACGGTCTCGTGGATCGAAAATCGCCATATTATAAGTACTTGCCGGAAGCCGTGCTCGAAAATGACCGCACTAGACTCTACTGGGACCGGGCCACTATCACAGACAGGACTATTCTTGCGCTAAGCCTGATATTGTGCTGATGGACCGGGCACAGTCAAGGATATTTTTGGTCGACATTACCATTCCTTATGACGAGAACCTCGTGAAAGCCGAAACAGGTAAGTTGACAAAATATCTGGACCTGGCTCGCGAAGTGACTGACATGTGGGGTGGTCTGCCGGCCGAAATTATTCCTGTGGTCGTTTCTGCGAATGGGTTAATCCCAGTCAGCCTCTCGGGTCATCTGAGGCGACTGGGTCTCCGTGACGGACCGCTCCAAGCTCAAATGCAGAAGACGGTGCTCCTTGATACCGCCCGCATCGTCCGCCGGTTTCTTTCCCTTTCCCCCTATCCCTCGGCCGTTTGGTCTCCCCTGCCGAGGGCTTCCATCTGGTTGGGTTT